AAAAAAAAAAAAAAAAAAAAAAAGGAAATGGGAGTAGAAGGATTTGATTCCCTTAACTTTTTAGATCGAAAATATGTGTTAACTAATTAAATTAGGTTACAAAATGTTTTTCCGAGCAAATCATTCTTTATCGTGTATAAGCCCATTACAAGTTTCAAATTAAAACTAAAATAAAACCATAAATTATTACTCAAGAAGAGGTGTTTTTTGCAATGCGTATGAATTTTCAGTTTTTAACAAATGGGAATTCTTATTTTATAAAGAAATTGATATAACTTGCTGACAAGCTCCCACATCGAAGAAATTCATTGTAGGACACATATCCAGCACCTATATAAAGCCGCCAACGTTGTTTGGGTAAAGCACGGAGCCGTGCGGTGGGCACAAAGCGAACTATTCTTTCGCCTTTTACTAAAGAATACCGTGTGCTCGCCGCTTCAAGCGGCATACGCCTATTTTTGGAGGGCCTTCCTTTGGGAGTGGGCCCAACATCAATTTTAAGTTTCAAAATTATTAAAAATAATTGAAAATTCAATAATGTGTAAAATGTATTAAATTTATTCGTGGCTATGTTAATCGACATGCATATGTCTATTCTTTAACCACCCCATCATAGAGTCCCTATTCTCACCGCCCCATTTTTTACAAGTAATTATTTTATTCTTATAATCTTTTTAATAAATATTAATATTATTAGTATTAGAAGTTGCCTTCTAACTCAAAACGTTTATTTCTTTGAATAAGCTCCAAGATCTTCGAACATGGAAGTTTCTTATTTCAAACTTCCCTAGAAAACACTTATCAAAATATATTTTAAAATTCCCTCTAAAATTAAAAAAATAAAAAATTAGAAGAGAACTAAAAAAGTATATATAAAAAAACTCATAAGCAAACATAATATTAAAGTCTGTGGCATACAGTCAACAACAAAATAACACATTCACAAGTCCCTCTCTGGATTGAACAAATAAAATCCAAATACCCATTAATAAATTTCAATTATTAAGAGAGAATTACTTTAAAAATTGAGCAAAAGATTTGGAAAGTTTTGGTGAGAACTGAGTAATAATTCACTAGTCGATTTTATTTATCTTTAATCTAAATTATCTTTTAAATTTATATTATGTTATATTACCTTTTGTATTTAATGTGAACTTTCACTTAATTAATTTTAAATTATCTATATCTGATTTTCTAAAATTAATTTAATAATGAAAATATAATAAAAATAATTTAATTAGAACTTATTTAACTCTTATAAATTAATTAACATATTACCATCAAGGATATCAAAAGTGAGTACATGATGAAAAATATAAAGAGTGAAGTGTAAATTTTGAAACTTAAAAGGACTAAATGAGATCATAATTCAAAGTTTAAGATATTAAGATATTAACAAAAAATAAGTATTTTTTACATAATATTTGTAAGAATATAAATTCTCTCTGTATATATATTACACCTTTACATACTTGGATGGTGACCTTTCATAAATATGCAATCATCGCTTTATTTTATCTGAACCTGGGAGCTAAAATCCCACATCGAAAACTGGGTATCGTGATTCCATCCAGCGCTTATATAAGTGCGGCGGCGCTTGGATGCCAAACTCACGGAGCCGTGCGGTGAGCACAGAGCGAACTATTCTTTCGCCTTTTACTAAAGAATACCGTGTGCTCGCCGCCACAAGCGGCATACGCCTATTTTTGGAGGGTCCCTCTTTCGAGAGTGGCTCCTACATCAATTTAAGTGAATGTTTATTAATAATGGATATCTAGTAAATTAATAGTTTCCAAGTACTTATCAATCTCATTGGTTGATATATTTATTTATTCTGGAGGATTGGCTTTGAATTATGGAGTTTCTGGATCGTTCATTGTTCGATACAGGGGTCCAATTAGCATCATACCATGACAATAGAATCTTATCTTATCATGGTATCTAACCGATTAGCATCATACCATGACAATAAAATCCTATCATGTTATTAGAATCTTGTCCTAAACTGAATAAAGAACTGAATAAATACAATAGAATCTTCAAATATTGAACAAAAATTATGAGTCTCGAAGGTATAGTTAAAAGTGACCAAAGTGTAGAACAAATGATGTACTGTATACGAGAGCTCCAAAGAAAGGAGTCGAGCCTCGATTAAGAGAAGGTTGTTCGAGAGCTCCATAAGCCTAAGAGAAGGTTTATAGTGTACTTTGTTCGAGGAGAAAATTGTTGAGGAATGACCGTCAGCATTAGAATCATCTTTTTCCTAGGGAGATGTTGATGATAAATTTATAATATCTGTACATAAATAAAAACGAAATTTATTACTCTTCCGAAAACAAATTCGGAATATTTTTGTATTATTATAAAATAAGTTAATAGAAACTGGGAGTGATCTCACGTTCGCATCCTATTGGGTTTTCATAGACAGAAACTAGGGAGAACTTAGAAGGTGGAATTCCCACATCGGAACTCAGTGAGGTGAAGAACCTGGCCAGCTGCTATATAAGAGCAACCACGGTCGACTTCTGAATCACGGAGCCGTGCAGTGGGCACAGAGCGAACTATTCTTTCGCCTTTTACTAAAGAATACCGTGTGCTCGCCGCTTCAAGCGGCATACGCCTGTTTTTGGAGGGATTCCGCCTTCGGGTAAGGTTCCCACAACAATCCTAGTTGGAAATCTATTTTTTCATTTTAAGATTTATTCAAATTAATGGTAGTATCTTTATTCTTACTTTTAATATATTCCACTCTGAATCACTATTTTCTCTTATCAAGAAGATTATGGTTTTGATGATTCATCAAGCTGACATGGTTGTTTTTAATGTCAGTTTTATATTATGAGCACAACTTTTATAGCAAGAAATTTCTAGTGGTGCTGCCATACAGTCTTAAACTGATTGTAACTGGTTTTTAATATTGAAATGGTTAAAGTATTACTGGCATTGAACGGGACGATGACAAAGTACGGAGAATTCATGAAGGTTGAAAACAAGAACTGGGAGAATTGTGCTTTAATGGTGTTTTAGATGGGGTTTCTGTTAATTAATTAAAAGGACGCCTCTTTTTTTATTAGCATGAGTTTAGGGGCATCAAAACCCAAGCAAAACTTTGGGGTAGATGACAATATTATTTTTTTAATATAAATATATGAGAAAAAGGCTGAAAAATAAACCTTTTCCAAAATGAAAAGCTCACTCTTTAAATATAAATATATGAGTTGTAGCTTCATTATAGCAACTAAACCTAAGTATAAATAAGATTTTATTTTACTCTCTTTAGTTGATTACTTTAGGTTTATCCGTGCATATCTTTGATTTTCTAAATTTGCCAAGAAATTGTGCTTATCAAAAGCTTATTTGAGTGATTTAATGCATTTCTCATCTCTAGTATAAATTTAAATCTAGATTTACCCATAACTTAAGAACGTATATACTTGCAGCACGTTGTATATTATAGCCATGTAAATGATTTATAACATGATCTTGAATTTCAAGTTATAAAATTTTCTATGTTGATTTTTATTTATTTATTAAATATTAAAGAGTGACAAATAAATGTTTAAAGGAATTTCTTTAAAAAAAAAATTATATTAATCATCATCTTTTTTTTTTTCCATGTGACATAACTCTTTTAATTCTAGAGATATTTCAGAGTTCAACAAGTACAATTCATACCAACCTAATGAAACACTTCAAGATAAAGCGTGATTTTTGGAGTGCAGTATGCACCGGTAGAATTCAATAAATACAATTGATGCATATAATTGTTCCTGTAAAAATTGATCTATTATTCAAGTGTAAGTGAGATCTTAGCATATAAATAAAAGTTTAGACAAATTCTGATTATTTATAAAGGAAGTTGAATAATCTGATAGACTATTGTTGAATGGGATCCGACGTGGCTATTTCTCATTGGTACATGGTACCTGTATAACAGCAAAATAAAATTGGAAAGCCCTAATAAATAAATAAATAAATAAAATTGAAAAAAGATAATAATATCCTTGGAAATTGAAATTACCACATCGAAAAAAGGTCGCTGAGTGGATCCATCCAGCGCCTATATAAAGCCAATGAGATATCTTTCTGAAGGCACGGAGCTGTGCGGTGAACACAGAGCGAACTATTCTTTCGCCTTTTACTAAAGAATACCGTGTGTTCGCCGCCCAAAGCGGTATACGCCTATTTTTGGAGGGTCCTTCCTTTGGGTTGGGTCCCTACAGTTAATATCATAAATGTTTTAAAGCCGTTTCCAATTTCACTGTTAAATAATGTAACTTGCAATTTTTTTTTACCGTTACTGGTGGAATAAATATATATATATATTTTTTTTTTCTGTTTGAACTACAATATAAATTTATATGGAGATTTTCTTTTATATATTTTTGAAGGATATCATTGTTGGAATTTTTTTTTCTTATTGTAAGTTAATTGAACTTTTGAGGTATTATCATTTGTACTTTATTTGGGTAAATAATTAGAAGTCCAAGGATCTGCAACATTAGAAGTCCAAAGATTAGTTGAGTAAATAAATTTTTAAGGACCTATTTACATTAGTTGAGTAAATAAGTTTTTAAGGACCTATTTACACACTTTAAAGAAAACTTGAAGGATAAAAATAAAGTCATTAAAATTATTTTCTAACAAGAGCTTATTTCAATAATTTAATAGTTTGCTTCCAATGTTTGATGCTGTAAAAATTCTAGAGAAATTTTACAAACTTGTACAATAATTAATAATTATATAAATTTATAAATAGATTGTATCATTAGTAAAAAAGAATTAAAATACTTAATAAAAATAGTAGTTAACAAAAAAAAAAAAGGAAAAGAGGTTGGAATTCCCTCAAAAATAGAAAGAAAGATGAAAAAGACAATAATACTGTGGCCTAAAATCCCACATCGGAAAGAGTCGCAGAGTGAATTTCTCCTGCGCCTATATAAAGCCATCAACGTAGACCTGATTCCCCACGGAGCCGTGCGGTGAGCACAGAGCGAACTATTCTTTCGCCTTTTACTAAAGAATACCGTGTGCTCGCCGCTTCAAGCGGCATACGCCTATTTTTGGAGGGGGCCTCTCTCGAGTGGTTCCCCACATCAATCTGAGTTGCAAATTAATTTTGTTACATAATTTAGATTATTTAATTGTATTATTTTTTAAGTGTAAATTTACGACTAAATGATCGTAATTTTATTATCTTACTACTTTGGTCTTCCCGGAATTTCCATTGATGTGTTTTGAACCCTAAACAAATTTAGAACCTAAACTTCTCAGATCTTACATAATGAATTCATCAGAGAAGCAATTGAGATAATATCACCCCTCAAATCAACTAAACACGGGAACTATTAAGCCAGCACAGATTACACAATGATTTTGCTAAGGATCCAAAATCCATCTGTGATTTATGAAACAGTACATCACAGCCAACAATGAGTTTCAGGAGTTGCAGAACTAGAAGGCTAAAATATTTAGATCTTTCTACTTCACGACATACAAAATCTTGTCCGTCCTTCCATCTCCCTTCAGTATCAAAGGCCGCAAATTTCACCTAACAAGCAGAGATTTGGGCTACACCATGTGGGGGATACAGAGAGGTACTCTGGTTTTATAGAACACCTTCAAGCACATTGCTCTCGTAAGTCGACATCTTCGAAATACCAGCCTTCAACTCGGGGGCATGATTTTTTGTTGTAGGTTGAGAACGATCTGATAGAAAACTGGAGTGACTAATCATCTATATTGAGAAAAAAGATTGATTTTACAGTATAATGTCGAAATACCTTAGTTTTCTCATTTCTTCCAATATAATCACTGAGTTGTTTCTCCCTCATAAGCTCTTTTCCTGCTAATTTTAGCTGAGTCGTATCCTCATTAAGAATTCCCACATCTGAAAGGTGAGATAATAGACAATCTCGTTTCTAGTCACTTTCATTGAGAATTATAAGGTTGACTAAAACAAAGCAATTTAATTTCTGAGCAACAGTTAAAAAAAATTAGTGAACATGATGTGTGAATGAATCTCTTCCACTAAGTATAATCCTATGAAAGAGCAGATAGAAATGCTATTTGGATAGAACTGGGAATATTATGAGCTATTAAGGGTATATTAATATTTTGCTGAGGAGTTGTTGTTTTATTACAAATAGAGTGAAAGGGAAGGAATGAAGGTAGACAATTGTTCACTGGCTTTATGCTTGAGTGGCATCTCAAGAGTGGAGAGGTTCCAAGTGAGAATATTTGCTAAAACCACCACTCCGTTGTGAAAGTTCTCTATTTATAATCATTTAGATAATTAAATAAATTACAAAGGATATGAGCAATAAATGGATATGGCTAGATATTTGTCTATCATAAAAGATCAAATATGATATATATATATATATATATATGGTAAATTATATTTCAGAACTAAATATCCTTAACTACTCGAGTTAAATTGTAATTCAGTAATTTTTTATATTTCAATATATTCAGGTTCTATCAAGAGCATTGGAAAATGTATTCTTAAGAGAGAGCTGTCCCTAGAAACTTCTCTCGACATAATTTTCCTTGAAATTTAATATTGTTGCTCTGGGGAATTGATATGAACCAGATATTCTTCATGTTAACATTGCATAAAAGTTCATATCTCAAGTGCACATGAACTAAAAACAAGCAGTAAACACCATTATGCTATGGGCTCTTGTTTTCTGAGTCAGTTGCAATTTTGTGCTAAAGGACCAAACTAACAATTTGACAAAAAGAAAAAAGATACACGTTGGATCGAGCACACATATTTGCAGTTGAGATAAAGTTTGTCAGTTTGAACCCCAAACAAACTTAAGAAGGGATCTTGATTAAGGTTCAGAAACTCTAAAATAATATAGAACTGATAGAAACCAAAACAGAACCACTATGTGTTACAATATAAAAGGTAGAGAACTAAAAAGAAAAGGGAGAAAAATGAAAATACCAGATAAAAGTTGTTGATAGTGAGTGAAACCAGAAACACCCAATAAATCAAACTTTGCAGCCAATTCCCTTTCAATAGTTTCAAAATGGTGTCTCAACACAAGATATGATAGAGGCCTATTGTGGATAACCATGTCCTGTAATGAGAAAATAGATATCAATCAATGAGAAGATGCAAAAGAGTAGACTAATAATTACAACATTCCCTTCTCTTGAAAAGAAAATTTTACTCTCAAAGCTATAGCAACAGTTCTGATTTCAAATAAGGGAAAAACTAAATATCAAATCGATTAATGAGAAGATGCAAAAAAGATAGAAAACAGTTCTCTCTCAAAGCTCAAACAGTTCTGATTTCAAATGAGGAAAGATTTAGAAAAACAAACCAATTCGTTAAAAGATTCAGAAGAATAGGCTACAAGGCACAGCATTCCATTTTTCTGAAGAAAAAAAATTCTCTAAAGCTAAAATAGTTTTGATTTCACATGAAATGCCTGGACGTCAATCACAAAATCCAACAAGAAAAAACTTGGAATCACGATGATTTTGCATTTATTCTGCTCCACAATCTAGGTTAACTAAACAACAGAACTTTCTGCGATTTTCTCATCATCCGAACAAGAAAAAGGGAATAGAGAGAAACCTTAGACGCGTACGACTTTGCTTCTGATAAAGCTCTCAAGAGAGGCGTAGCTTCACATCACAGTCATCACAAGATGATTACAAAGGAGAAAGAAACATAATCGGGTAAAAGAGAAACTATTTGTTCGAATTACTAATTTCCAAACCTTTGGGATCGCCATAAAGGGGAAGTAGACGGGGTTGGAGTTCTGAAACAAGCCGATGGATTTGAGATTGGAGATTGAAAATGTGAACGACTTCCGAAGTAACTTCTTCGATCAACAAGTTGCTCTGACACTCGTAGAGAAACTCGTTGCCGCCGGAATCGTCGCAAGGTTTGACGTGAATTCTCACCATCTTTTTTGGGCTTCTCAGTTCTCGGGCGGGTAATCGCTTTTACGTATTCACCGAACATTTTAACAAAAACTAATAAAATCGTAGTTTAGTTTTAAGTTCTTAATTTTAAAATTGGTGTCTACTAGGTTATAAACATTAAAAGAAATATATATTATTTTAAAACATGGAATAAATTTCTAATTTTTTTTTTAAATTTTTTTTATCCTGGATGAGTTCAAATCCATAAAAAATAATAATAATAATAATTAATTTATTATCTATAAATTTGGATGGAATTGGAGGCATCAAATGTTAGTTCTTACTCCTCACTCCCTCTCCTTTACTTCATAGGTCCTTTTATAATGGTAAAATGCCTTCTATTTTCGTCAAATGACCCGGTCTCCCCTTAGCTCTTCCACTGTATGGGCTGCCTTTTTTGCCTATGCTATGTTCCCCGTGTAGGCCTACCACGCTTTGCGCCTGCAGCGTTTTCGCCAAACGGCCTTTGCCAATAGTGTCATCTTCCCTGTGGGCTGTATGGGTAGGTTGGCCTTCGCTGCTGCGTTCTGTTAGACTATGGATTATAGGAACAAATATAGTTGAATGAGACAGAGACAGCAGGCATGTTACCTTCTACTGTGCCGAGATGTGAGGTGCAGGTCTACTGTGCCGAGATGTGAGACAGAGACAGCAGGCATGTTACCTTCTGCCGAGATGTGAGGTGCAGGTCTACTGTGCCGAGATGTGAGACAGAGACAGCAGGCATGTTACCTTCTACTGTGCCGAGATGTGAGGTGCAGGTGGTGCCGAGATGTGAGGTGCAGGTGGTGATGGTGATGATCACCCGAAGTATGCGCCACAAAAGATATTAGTTCTTACTTCTCCTAACAAGTTTCAAATCTAGTTGTCACCTAGATACATTACTGAAGGAAGGCCCCTCCTGTAATTTATATTAAATTTCCGCACAAATATTATCGACCAAGGGTAATCATATAATATACAAAAATAAATAAGAAAAACATGAAGACAAGAAAATTTCAAAACCCATTTGCAGAAAATGTAGAATTTTATATATTCATATTTAACTACCGTACACCCCTCAATCCATACAACATCATCATATAATACACAGAAAAATTTTATTATTAAATTTAGACTAAATTCATTTTATTAAATAATTTAGACTAAGTAATGTAGGGACCACCCCAAAGGATGGACCCTCCAAAAATAGGCGTATGCCGCTTGGAGCGGCGAGCACACGGTATTCTTTAGTAAAAGGCGAAAGAATAGTTCGCTCTGTGCTCACCGCACGGCTCCGTGATTTGTCCCTCCACTGGCTGGTTCCTTTTATACCTCTGGGAATGCTCGAACACGCAGAGATTACCGATGTGGGACAATACTGCTCCGACACCCTTGAGTTTTATTCCTTACAGAACGCCCCCGTAATTTTGTCCCTTCTCGGTGTGATCAAATTCTCCACCAGGCCACCCGCGAGTCCGCCTCGTGGACGCCTCCGATTCTCTGCTCTCAGCATCCGCCGTATGCTTCATGGAGGGATAGAAGAGAGAAAGGAATTGCAACACTAAGAAAAATAATTTTAGGAAGTCATGTACGTAATCTACAGAAATAATACAAAATTTGTCACAAATTAATTAAGGAATTGGACTAAATTGTAGTGGAATCTTTAGATTTTTAATATGGTTCTATAATTTGAATCTAGTTTCCGTTTTTGGCTCTACGTGTTAGAACGGGAATCCGGAACTCATATCTCTTAGTGCGTGATGCATTTTCATCTACAACACATTATACAATTAATTTGCGATACACTAGATAGTGCGTGATGCATTTTCATGGCTGTGAACACGGCGCTTGCTTCAGGTTAGTCTTTTCTTTTCCTTTTTCCATATTCGATTTCTCAAAGCGTATCGTCGCTGCTCTAATTTTGGGAGGCAGATAACTAGTTGTTCGGAGGCCTGATTGTTTCTTTTTCTATGATTAGATAACTGTAAGTTTGTTGATTATCGAAAGATTTTCTTTAGAAAATATGACGATTTTTCCGATTACTTGAACTTTGAGCCTCCACTCTACGGTCTGTTGATCGAGAAGAAAGTAGCATGCATTGCCGTCTTCTAGTTTAGTTTCTGGATAGTGTAGTTTGCGCCTTACTAATTGAAACTCGATGAATTGATTAGGTCGAATTCGCGATTGCTCGACGATATCTAGAGAATAATGAAGTTTTCAGGTCAATTTGTTGTGTGAATTTGAGCTAGATTAATGGAGAGTGCATGAGATTCTACATTACATTGCACGAGAATGAATAATGTAGGATTTTCTTCGGTGATCTGGATTTATGAGAACTAAGCCTGTGTATATTCTAAGTGCAGGCATTCCAATTCTGGACTTCACAATTTCAAGCACATTACCTAATTTACGATACCTAACATAAAAGCGTCCCCAAAGCAATGATGGTTTCCTACACAATGGAAATTTTTGCCCTCATGAGTGCGATAAGCAGGGGCTTTCTTCAATGTATAGCCAGCTTTATGGATTTGGTTGATTACATAGAAGGACGACTTTGGTCCTTATTTATTGGAGATTTGGACATATCTAATAAAAAGGTCGGAAATAGTTACTGAAATTGGTTAAGACTGACATTATGTTGCATTTTCACACAGTTCTACATATTGTACTCGACAGTACAAATTACAGATAGCCATGAACAACATTTTGCGTTGACTTATAGCATACCCAAGATAGGAATCTTGCAAGAAGAAGAAGATGTCATTAATATATTATGTCTGTACTTTCTTGATCTCTATCAGTCTTTATCAGCCCCTGCAAAGTTCTGGTTTTTCCTGATCATCAGAAACTGTAAGGCTGGAGGATGATAATAAGTAAATTCCAACTTCACTAACTGTCTTCCTTGAACGCAATGGTTGCTGAGATTGAGACTGCTTGCAGTGTGCAATTGCACCCTGAATTGAGTTCTCAATCTCTGAATTCACACTGCCACATCTCTTCAGGTAATACCCGCTCGAATTGTTTGGACATGAAGAGGAAGTGGGATTTAATGATGCAGAAGATGGTTTGATGTTTGGTTGCCTCTTAATGACCAATGAGAATGATCTTCTATTGCTACTGCTGCTTTCCGTATTGCCTTTGTCTTTGTTGGAATTGGAGATGGAGCTTGAAATTGGTCCAAAGGGCTTTCTCTTTTCCACTTTGGCGCCCTTTTTTGAACATTCATTGGCTTTTGAAGCTGATCCTTCATCTGCAATCTTTGCAGCTACTGCACAGGACTCATCTGAGCAACCTGTTTTGGTAAACAAAGATTTGATGTAAGTCCTGGAAGCTTTCAACTTAAGACCAAGTGTAGAACGTTTAAGCTTTTTAGTCCAGGACTTTTTTGAGCTTTCACCATTCAAATAGCTCGCATCCGCTGAATACTCTAGAAAATATTCATCTGAGTTAAGTTCCCTACTAATCCGAAAGGACTCGGAAGGAGAAATGTTGCAAGAATCAAAAGGAGTACTTGTTGCTGTAGGTGTATTGATAGAAGTGGTTAACGGAGTGCTGAATTCCTCAAAAGTGTCTTTTCTGAAATCATAATCAGAACTAGACTTCTGCCAGAGTTTCTCTACCATTTGCAGGCGTGGGGGATGATGAAGGGGAAGAAGCTTCCCATTGTAGAAGAGCTCATCAGCTGGAGAAGTCGTCGGCTCTCTCCCCCGAGAATTCATAGACATTTGAAACTCGAACTCCCTGGATTGGCGCGGAGAGCTTTTGGAGTCGCAGAGAAAGTTGGTGTATGAACCAATTTCCATGTCTATATAGTCATCATCTGATGGATCAGAAGATGGGATGTCAAAAGCCATATCTAGTAAGTCCCTCTCTCTCTCTGGAATTGCTTATATGAAACCGTGCTTTATCTGGTGATTCAAGGGTAGGAGCACCTTTACAACTGAGGATGCTTGACTTTATATCAGGTCTATAGAGAATAAACTATGCATTCAAATAGGAAATTAGAACAGAATTGGAGCCACTCTGCTTGGACCAGCATTGACCCATATCACAATTTTATTAATTCTCAGTGATTTTTTTTAACACCTAGTGAACTAGTTTTATTTTCTTTCTTTCTTTATTTGTTTATTTGTTTATTTGTTTGTGTGTGGCTGATTTCTCATTGCTTTTCACTGTGCTACTACAAAAGAATGCACTAAAATAGTCTGGTCTCTTTCTTTGGTATTATTCTTTTATAGTGATGTAGAAAACCATTCAGAATTTAAAATAGTGAAATTTTGCTTCTTTTTCATTGGGTCATACTTTGCTTGCAAATCACTGAAATTGGGTGAAATGTTTCTTATTCTATCAAACAAAACAATAGGCAGAAAATTATAATCAAATAAACAAAAAAGGGTTAGGTTAGCTGAGACATTGAACTTTATTCCAAAAGGAATAGATATAGAAGGTAGAACTCAAGCAAAACAACAGTGTATTCTGAAGCTTAGAGTAAAAGGGATAAACCACAAAGTTTCCTTTCTAAATGCTAATCTAAGATTCTTAGACCAGGCACCTGAAATTAAAAAAACAAGTAATTTAGCCATCTTTTTCAACAGCTGTGTGGCTCTACAGACAAAGATCAGATTTAAGAACCAAACCATGCCCAAAAACCTGGCTTTTCTGCTCTCATACAGCATGCTAGCTCCTTCATATTTCCATGTGGCCCTTGACAAAAAAATAAATAAACAAGAATATGATTGAAGACAGCTCCTCTTTCAACTAGAACATTACTTTGAGCTCCAGAAGCACTTTTGTCTGATTTTCTTTCTTTCTACTGAATTCCTGGGTGGCTTTACTTTTTAATAACTTTCCCATCCAAATACACTGATTGGTTAGTGTTCAAATCTTCTTCCTTTTTTTTTTCTTTTTCCATTCCTTTTGTTTTATATGTTTTACACAAATGCTTACTTTTAGACTGCTCCTGTAAATTCAAGCAATAGGAAAAAGTTGATGACCTTACAGTGAATTAACAATGTCCAGACATTTAATAGTGGAGGAGGGAAATTCCGGATCAGTTTTGCCTTGAATGCTTGAGATTTTTGCTATTGTCCTCTCCTTTTACTACATTCTCCACGTTTTTGTTGTGTCTCACTCTCTTCGAAGATAACTTATTTTAGAGTTCCTCAGTTCCAAAATGCAAACAATTTTGATATAATTAGCCTCGGTCGGAGGGTGAACATGGACTCCACAACTTATGAAATGCTTAAGAAGTGAGAAACAGGAAGCTTTAGAATTTGTCAGGAACTAGTCTGTGGGCTCTGGGAATATAGCTGAGAAGTATGTATTGAACTTGATTGGAATGATTTGCTCACTCGTTTGATCTAACGATTGGAGTTGGGTTGCTCAGAGTTGTGTAGTTTGTGTTCGGATTATAGTGAACTAAGGAATTAGTAATAAAAACCCGAGTTTGTCAAATGTGTTCGATTTTTTAATTTAACGAATTGTAAGTATATCGCAAAAGATATACTTAGCAAACTTTCCTATCATTACACAATCGGCCTATGTTTCAAGAATTCCTATCTATTTCTTGGAATTGAAAATTTGAAGTGTTGAATTTAACTTTTAGTTTTTTATATTTAAGCACATTCAATTTCCACAATTCGAAGAGTTGTTGAAGGCGTCAAATTATGTTTCTTCTAATGTCATGGATAAAATTTTGTGAGATGTCAATAAATTGAATCCCAATCTTAATAATCATAATTTATAATTAAATCAGCATCAGTTGTCAACAATAATTAAAATATGATAATTCTTTTTAAAGTTATCCTATAGGATCAAACAAAAAGACAATCTCAATCTAAAAATAATATTCATAAATCATAAAATTCTTTCAAACAATTTAAATTTCTAGAATACAGTACACCCTGAGAAAAAAAAAAAAAAAAAAAAAAAAAAAAAAAAATTTAA